CTACATGAAAAAGTGAAGACATTATAAATAACTGGTGAAAAGATAAATCTCACAGATCTGAAATAATATTTATTTTTATAAATATAAAATGAGTTTTTTAAATAAATCTTGTATAACTTTGAGAAAGTGAATATATAAGACAAGTGTTATGAATACTTCACTAAGTGTAGACAAGTAAGTAATTTTATATCATACTTTACACACTTCAGCTTATACTATCTTATATTGAATGAAGAGCTTTTAACATCTTTCTATTTATAGATCTTCATTCATAATCTTACATCTGAGTTGAGAGTGAAATGAAAATGCTTAATCTTACAATTAGACACAGTGAAAGAAGTATATAATATTCTCATTGTATAAAAATAAGCAAGTCAATTATAATAGAAAATAATGTAATTGAGTATATCTTAACAGAGATCAGATAATCAGACTTCTATAATATAAGTTATACATCTGAATGCAATGAATCTAGATCTGAATATTATCACTAAAGTGCTGCATTCTCTGAAAAAGAGATTCTCTGAGTGAAAATCTTGATCTTATAAGTATCAAGCTTGCTTCAACTGCAGATACTAAAATCATGATGCAAAAGATTACACACAGTGTGCATAGTTAAGAAAAGCAACAGAGTTAAAAAACTAGCAGAATCAGTAAGCTTGAAGACACTCACTGATATTCTATAAAAAGTCTTCAAAGTGAAAGAGATGCCTGTGTTAGATGACTCTCTGCATTCTGTTAATATTAAGAGAAAGCAGGCTTCTGACTAAGATGTGAGTAAGAATAAAGCAGACATGCATCTCAATGTCTTGAGACCTGAAATGTTAATATATAAACAACACTTAAATAAGAATTGAGAGATACCTGTAAAATTATTAGCAGATACAGAAGCTTCTATATAATATATTAATAATTATATAATCTGAAGACTGAAAGAAGTTCACTGAGTGAAGAATTTCTGATATATAAGATTATCTGATAACTGATATTTAATATTATCTGTAAAAGGAAGAGTTCTCTTGTACTTTAAAGAATGATCTTGCTACATTTGAGTGTAAGAGCTGCAGAATATGAAAAACAACCTCATTCTCAGACTTGATTAATTTTAAAAGTTCAATCTGCAGATTGAATGATGTATGTATCATATATAGTTAACTGATAGAAAGAAAACAGTTCATACAATTCTATTAACTGATATGAGAAGAACATTTCACATCTCTGATATAGAAGAGTTAAATCTACTTATGCATCAATATATAAAGATAATAATTTACAAGACCTTATCTGAAAGCATTCTGTATGACATACAGAAATCAGAAGTAAAGAAAACTAAGATAAAAAATGTACAGAAGAACAAGTATATAAAGAAACTTCTGAAGAAGTATAAAAAGTTCTTCTGAACAGATCTTTCACTGAACTTGCTGCTGAAACAGAAATTCATACATAAGATTGACATGAAGAATATGAAACCAGTCAATCAGAATGTGTACTCTCTGTCACAAACATATCTTGAAGAACAGAAGTATCAGATCACAGACCTTCTAGAACATGATCTCATACAACTCTTATCAAGTGTGTGAGACTTCTCAGTTCTATTTGTGAAAAAGCTGAGTGAAGAGTGATGAATGAGTATCAATTATTAAACACTTAACAAGCTTATGATCAAGAATGAATATTCACTGTCACAGATTCAATAACAGTTAAATACAGTTGAAAACACTCAATATCTATTGAAGATTAATCTTCTCTCAGAATACTGATATATCTGTATAGATGAACTGTCAGTACTACAAACTGTGTTTAATATATAATGAAGAAAGTTTAAATTCCTGACAATGTCATTTAATCTGATAAATATGTTCATCATCTTTTAAATAATAATAAATACAATTCTTCATAAACTGAATGAAATCTCATATCTTATATATCTGAATAACATTCTAGTCTTCTCAAACTTATATAAGAAATATCTGAAGCATCTTAATAAAGTGCTTATAACTCTGACAGAGTATAAGCTCTATGCTAAATCAACAAAGTGTGTGTTTGAAATGAAACAGTTGAAGTTTGTAGAATATATAGTAGGTGATGACTGTATACATCTCATTCTGAAGAAATTGAATAACATAGTGAACTGACTGTGGCTGAGAAATGTATATCATGTATAATAGTTTCTTAAGTTAATCTCATATTACTGCAGATTTATCAAAGATTTCATATAAATAGCTGCATCACTCTCAGATCTCTTAAGAGAAATAGATACTAATCTATAGAAGAAGAAGCTTCATTCAATCATCTGAAATACTGCATGCAAAGAGACTTTTCTCACACTGAGAAAATGTATAATAATATTCTCAGTACTTATTCAATCAGATCATGATAAACCTTTCTACATTAAGACAGACATATCTGAATGAGTTATTGAACACACTCTTCTATAGATGAGTATGAACATCAAGCTGCACTCAGTGATATATAATGATAGAAAACTATCAGGCACTGAACTCAATTACTCAGTGTATGAAAAGGAATTATTAGCAATCAAGCATGTACTGATATTATAAGATAGATATATTAACAACAGATATATAATAACAGTGATTATGAATTATAAAAGCCTTGTCTATCTACAATCAATGATAAAATCTTTCAAACACTTAGCACATTGAATCTCAGAGTTTCAAGTGTATAATCTTCATATCAAATACTAAAAGAGATTGAACACTGTGATATCTGATACAATCAGTCACAGATCTGATTTCATGAGTGAGAATTCTGTGAACTAGATATAAGAAAAGTTCATATTAAACACACTGAGAGAATGTAAGAAATCAGAATAAGTAAATATAATAATCTCTTACTTCAAGAATAATAAGATGTTCAATAATAAGCATCTTATAAAAGTATTAAAAGAGATGCTTCTAAACTTCAAACTGAGAAAATTAAAAAATGATGTTATACTCTACTGAGATCTAGAATATATGAAAGCTCTCTATCTAGAATATTCATTTAAACATAACTTGATAACTCATATACATAAGAAATTCAGCCACTTAGAAAGCTTTGAACTTATGAGTGTACTCAAATCAAGAGTATACTGACTAAGCATGGCTGAGAATATTCAGATATACACTCACAAGTGTCTGAATTACCAGGTTATGAAAGAATCTAAGAAAGGATTAAAATATGAGAAAGTGTAACATCAGATAAAATGTACAATATAACTGTTTAAATAATGAGAAGTGAATCTCATAGACATACTACTGTGAATACTAAATGAAAATTAATGAATAATAACTGCTATTAACTACATCACTGACTGGCCAGTTGTGAGAGCAGTTTCAGAGATGATAGAGTAGATGATAATTAAGTTTCTATATAATGAGATCTATATTAAATATAGAATACTATATGAGATTCTAACTGATAATGATATAAATCTCATAGAAGAAGTAGTGAGACATTTCATAAATCAGTTACAGACAAGATATTATAGAACAATATTATATTATCTATAAATAAACAGAAAGATAAAATACTTAAATGAAATCTTGAGTAACATACTAATACAATATCTAGTAAGTAAGTCTATATAACTATGAGATGAATATCTCAGTCAGGCACTATTAGTCACACAAATTCAGTAGTATGTAGTCTTCAAGTGTTCATCATTCTATCTGTTGTACGAATTGCATCCGCGCATCCCGGAGAATGCTTTGAAAAAGATGAGAAAGAGAACAACAGTTGCAGATACAGCAGAAATAACAGTTATAGATACAGCAGTTACAGATATAGAATAAAGATTGAAAGAGATCAGCCACACATGTACAAAAGCTAATAAGTTACTTCTGAATCAAGCAATTCAATTGCAAAGAATATGAGACTCACTAGTTAAGAAATTGAGTCTCAAGATACAAATGTGAGTTCTCATACACAATGAGAGTTCTGAGAAGTTTCAATCTAGATGATTTAAGCTCTATAAAATACTCAAATCACATTCTCTGAGAACATATGCATTGCAGAAATCAGAGAGATAAGTCTTATATAACTTGATAAATAGTTCATATTTTATGAAGATAAAGATGTAAGATCTGAGCAGATTATAATTATTCACAGCACTATTATCAGTATTGAAAAAGAAGACTCTTACAATGAAAAAGTCTCACAAAGTAAGAGAAATCATAGACACATATGAATTAGACAATCTCACTTATTTCAATCTTTTCATAATTATAAGAAAAGAATGAGAAGAAATGAAGAAATCAGATGAATACTACATTTTAATATGTGATGAGACTGTAGCTGATCATATAATAACATGCTACAGACAGTGAATGTAACACAGTAAAGAGCAGTCTCAAAGTAGCAGACTTACACATGAATTGAATCACAGAAGAAAAAGAAATTCAGAGTTAAATTCAACTGTTTACATCAGTTTAATCACAGAGATAACAGAGAATGAAACATCTGAAACATTCACAGATATATAAGATAAAGTTATCTTAATATCTGAGAACACTTAGAGATTGAGTGAGATTAGTTTCAATGAGCTGTTCACTGTAGTAATCTAAGCAGGTGAAGAGACACAGTATAATGCATGACACAGAATCACAAGATAAAAGCTGCTGAATCTAGTCACTGAACAATGTATCATATAGAGATCATGTAAGAGTAGTGACTAGCAGACAAAGAAAAAGCATAAGAAAAGAGAAGAAATAATGAATTGATCATCAACTGTAAGAGTCAGCTGCAAAAGACAAATATTATCATATACTTCATTCATTTTTATATGTCACATATTTAATCTATTTCCAATGCCATGCCATCTCAAAAACATTAAAAATAAAGGAAATCTCAAAACTCAAGATCTGCAAGGGATTTAAGAGCTGCAAGCTGCTCTTATAATAACACTGTGTATATCTCTGATTTCTCTACTGCTCTGTATACAACATTAATATTATTAATCACAAGATTGACTGAAATGCCAATATAGAAATGTGTACATATGTGTGTAGAAAAATTGAAGAAGAGCATGAGACCCGCAGAACCAGAAGTCAGAGCAGAGAGAACAGAGGTGAAAGAAATGAAAGAAGAAGATACAGAATTAGATGAATAACAGCAGAAGTCACTCAGAGATAAATGCTTATAATCTGAAATACACATAATCTTATCTGCAGAGAAGACATTGAAAGAGAAAACAATGAAAGAAGCTTGAGAGTGAAAGAGAGTAGTCTCAGCAGTGTTGACATCTTTGATTAAAATGATCTCTAGTGCCAGAGCAACTAAGAATCATTGTTAGCATACAAAAACTGTAAAATCAGAGATGAGAACAGTTACTGAACAAACACTCACTGATCTTAGAATTGTACACATAATTACAACATACACAAGGCTTCTCAGAAAGAGAGAGAGAGACACAGAGAAATGCAGAAAGCAGAATGCAGTGTGTGAACAGCTCATTCACATAATAATATCTCAGACAAGATGTACAAGTCTCATACTCACAGATATAAAAGAGTATAACATTCATATTTCTGTTTCTGAAAACACAGATATTCTTTGTCTGCATTATAAAGTCAGATAACAGATATCAGAGAATAGACTGATACAGATCTATTATCTGAAAGAAATTCATTAGAGCAGATATTTCTGTGATATTAAACTTTACAGTTGTAAAAAGTTTCTTGATATTTATGAACATTATAACTTTATATATAATAAAACTCATAATAATTTCCTCTAAGAACTGAAAAATCAGTGTCAGAAAGAGAAGATGAAAAAAGAAAGACTTACAATCTTAACACTGTTGAGAAGAGAGATAATTCTTCAGTATGAATAAACAATTGTCTCATCACAAATACTTAAAAGAAATATAATAATTAGTGTTTATGACTGAGCTTCAGATAGTCATATTATACACTGTCTTTATACAATAAATCATTCTAGAAGTTGATAAAAAGAGTGAAAGTGTACATGCTGAGAAACATGATTCATGAAGTCTACACAACATCTTCTGAAAATGAGAAGAGCTGATAATGAAAGCAGAGTGACGCAGAGATAGTAGATGTAGAAGTAGTAGAGCAGAGTAGCAGGAGTGAGAGTAGCGGGAACAGAGATAGCGGGAGCGGGAGAACCAGACACAGAGACAAGTGTAGAAGATTGTGAGAGAGTAGCAGAGAAAGAAATAGAGAGAGAAGAGAGAAATGTGAAAGACTCAGTCACACATGACACAGACAATTCCTTTATTATTGCATTTCTCAAGTTCTCAACTGATGATTTCACATTGAGATTATAATCATTGATAGACACAGATCTGTCAATATGTGAAGATTCTACACAAATTAAAACAAATATATCAGCATCTGCATTTATGCAAAACATGATTAGAAAACAGGATCAGAAATATGATCAGATACTCACTGAAAAAAGAAGATTAAAAGTGTATAACAAGATGAAGAAGATATGTCATTTATAATAGTACATTCTGATAATTGTTAGAAGATAAACAAGTTCTGATCATATTTCACAACATATTACACTTACTGTTAATAAACTGCTCAGTATGAGCACTACAATAACACTAGTTATGAGAATAAGAAGTCATCATCAGAAACATATATAATGTGATAGATAAACAGATATACGATGTTAAATAGAAGAAGAGGTAGAAATCTTGAAGAAGATGATGATATTTAATCATAATAATAATAAAGAAGATGATTGAAGAATGAGAAAAGTTTGTGAATAAGAGATGTAATATAGTGAAAGTTTCTGTGTAAGAGTGTATGCAGAACACTAGCTGAATCAGAGATAGACTATATAATTATAAACACTAGTAGTGTGCTAACCTGCATAAAGCTAGAATATACATTATAATTACATGAGTGTGACTGAATCTGATGAGAGCGAATGTGATTCAGAAGAACATACAATTATCAGATAATAACACAGTCACTTTCAAACTTATTTATGAATGTAAAGAGGTCACAGCGGTCACTAATTACTTTAGTGTACTGTATATAAGAAGCCGGCGTACGCCTGTAATCGTATGCTGGCTCAAGCAACTTTTGAATCACAGCTTGAAGAGGTCAGATGATAATAATTTGAAGAAAAGATGATAATGAATGCAATTCTTGTATCTACTGTGATGAATAACATGTATAATATGAAGGTCATGATAGATAGCAGTCTATACTACTATGCAATCATTAAATCTTCAGTTGTAAGACATTATAATCTTCAGTGTATTCTCTTATTAAAACCTCAACTTCTTGTAGAATTTAATGATTCAAAAGACATTTACACTCATTACATAATGAAACTAAACATAGAGGTCAGAGAACATCAATGTGAAGATGCCTATATATATGAAGTTAATAATCTTGATTATAATTTTATGTTAGAACTTGCCTGACTATCTGAATAAGGCATCTTATTAAACACTTAAAACAGAAGCTTGATATTTCCTAATAATGATAGAATTCACAAATATAACATTCACAAAACTATGAATCTGACACAGATCTCTGTTCACACATACAAAATGCTCTGAAAATGAAGTCACTGACAGAATTGCTGACAAGGCTGCTGATAGTAAAATCATGTGATAATCTACTTCATCAGTCTGACTGATATCAAAAAGACTCTAGAAAAGTTATTTCATGTTACAATAACAGATTCTCATACAAAACTCTTTTAATAATATCATGAATATCTAGATGTCTTTCAATAAGATAATAATGTTACAAGTCAACCTGTTTTACGAGGTTCAGAAGTGAACCACAGTATTAAACTAGAAAAGAAGAATGATAAAGACTCTGAATCATTATAAGGCTCTCTTTATAACATGTCTCAAGATAAACTTCTTCTTCTTCAAAAGACACTCAATGATCTGTTGAATAAAGAATTTATATGTATTAGTAATTTCTCTGCTACAGCTTCTATTCTCTTTGCAAAGAAATCAGACAGAGAACTTCAATTCTGTGTGAACTATCAAGAATTGAACAGATTAATTAAGAAGAATCACTATTTCTTATCTCAGATTAATGAAACTCTTGCTCGCATTGAACAAGCTCAATAATTTATAAAACTAGATGTTATTACTGTGTTTCATAAGATTTGTATCACTGAAGAAGATGAATAACTTACAGTATTTCAGACATATTATAATCTCTTTAAATAGATAGTTACTCTCTTTGAACTGACTAACATCTCTAGCATATTTCAGAAGTATATCAACTGAGTACTCTAATATTTTCTTAATAAATTCATATCTGTATATCTCAATAACATTCTCATCTTCACTGATGAGTTCAGAAAAGAATATCAAGAACATGTGTAAAAAGTATTATAATAATTACAAGAAGCAGAACTATCAATAGATATTAATAAGTGTGATTTTGAAGTCAAGAGTATTAAATATCTGAGTTATATCATAGAAGCTGATAAGAAGATTTCAATGAATTCTGAGAAAGTCTTCACTATTCTTGAATGACAAGCTTCACATACTGTGAAAGATAAATGAAGCTTCATCAGATTTGTTAACATCTATCAGTGATTTGTATAAAACTTCTCAGATATTGTGAGATCACTTACAGAACTCATCAAGAAGAACTCAGTATTTCAGTGATCAGTGCATACTAAAGCTGTATTCACATAGATGAAGAAGATGTTCATTAACATCTCTCTGCTAATGATACTTGACTCTGATTATAAAACAGTCATTGAAGCTGACTTCTCTGACTATGTTACAGAGAGAGTGATATTATAATATAATAATGAAGATATCTTATAATCATGTGTCTTCATGTTTAAGAAACTGAGTCTCACTGAATGTAACTATGAGATCTATAATAAGAAACTTCTTACAATTGTATACTGTTTAGAAGAATGAGACTCTGAACTTCAAAGTGTCTTTAAATTTGAGATAATCACAGATTATAAGAATCTCAAACACTTTATCATCACACACAAGCTTACAGAATAACAGATGCAATGATTCATGCTATTAAGCTGTTTTCATTTCATGATACACTACCGCCTCAGTAGTCAGAACTCAATGATAGATACTCTCTTATAATAAGAGTAAGATATACTATTCAATGTAACAGATACTCACTGAATGAACTGAGAGTACTGGCTCTTGAATTTGAAGATATTAGTTAATGAAGATGAAACAGCTCATGACACTATACATGCTTCTTCAATTAGAACTGTCACTGATATCTCAACTTCTTTCAAATTTACACTAGATGAACTATGACATACAGCAGCTTAAACTGATGAACTGCTTCAAGCACTTACTAAAGTAGTATGTCAAGAAGCACTCTGATTTCCCTCAGAACTATGTATAAGAACTGACATCTTAGAATGTTCAATCAATGATAATAACACTCTATGATTTCATAAACAACACTGAGTCTCTCACTCTGAATTCTTACATACTCAGATTATGCAAGAGATGCATGATTCACATATAATCAGCTATTCAGACTATGAACAACTGTATTAAATAATCTCTTGAGAATTCTACTAATCTGAGATATCAAACAGTATCAGATATTTTATTCAAAACTGCAATTATTATTCTTCTATCATCTCATGAAAGAACTGTAGAAGAGGCCTGATGAAATCACTTAATATTCTTAATAGAATCTGATAAGATGTGATAATTGACTTCACTATTTATCTCTCTGAGAGTAAGAGTTGTAGAAACATTCTGATCATTATAAACTGATTGAGTAAAGATGTAATATTGAAATCTTATAATAAGATAAATTGTAATGTAGCGGTATTAAAGCGGGGACTAGTCAGCAGTGTCATGTAGAAATAGTTGTTTGAGAAGCTGTATGAGTGAGCTTGACTATCTTGCTTAAATAGTGAGCTCATAGGCTACAGAGTTATTATGAGAATATCACAGATATGATACTTAGTATACTAAGAAGATTGTATGAGAAATGCAGTAACTCTTGTATATATTTCAGTAGAAGAAAAATAAATCAAGGACTTCTTTAATGAGAAGTTAGTATCTAGCTAGTCTATATAGACAATGAGTGAATACTCTTGTCTTATTTCATGAGTGAGAATAGCCAGAGTGATACCTCAGCAGCATCTCACTATTAAGAAAGAGTAATCTGCTGATCTTGTATAGAAGTAGAGTGCTTCTATTCATCAATCAGATCATTCTATAATATCTCTCAATAATGTTATAGAGTGGTTGAAAACCAGTTTGAATAGTCTGTGAGATGAATGAAATCATCTGCAGAGAAGTGATAAGCTGTGTGAAACTGCAACAGAGTTTTGATACATTATTATTATTATTATTCTTCAATTATAGATGTATACAGTCAGAGACTATAACATCTACCTGAGAACTAAAAGTTCTCAGGGTTTTTCCTATATCTATAAAGTTAACTATTATACATTCATCAATTTCAGATATGCAAAATCAGAAAATTCCAGCTCAGAATACAAAAACTGTTTACAAATTGCAGTATTTTAACATCTTCTGATACTTTGAAACCATTTGACAATATCATGACAAAAGAAAAGAGAACACAGTCTTAAAGATAGACACATTAAATTGATAGATAGAAAAGAATAGAAAGAAAAAAGTAAAGTATAATAAAGAGAGACTGTAACAAAACAAATTATCAAAAGATAGTATATAGCTGTTTTAACAGACTATATCTGATCAATTTCCTCCTCTTCATATTCAGATATTTCTGAATTCAGTTATTGTCTTGTAGCTGCTTGAGTTTCTGATAGAAAGTCTATTAAGTATTGAATTCCTGTCTCAGTTGAGAATAAAAATCTCATATTTAATTGATTTAGATCATACTTCTCTTTCAATCTGACTCTGATACTATTGTATAATGCACAGTGCATTACAATATACTCAGGATTCTCATTTATATTGCAGAATGAGCATTTCATTGAATCAAATCTATCATCAAATCTTTACATATAAGATGTAAAATAGTCATGTTCTAGTTTCAGCTGTATTATAGATGAGAATATTTTCTTTTTATATTTAATTGAACAAGATTTCCACTTGAGTTTTGTTTCAAATCTTGAATAATGTATACTCTTTTTTTGTTTCTGCCAGCTTTCATTTCACTTGTTTAAACAAGATTCTTTTATTTTTCTCTTTATAAAAGACCAGGACATAATTTTTTTGAATAGATCTGCTTAGTTCTGAACCGTTTTTTACAGCTGAATTAGCCAATTCATTGTCATGAATATTCATATGAGCAGAAACTTAGTGTAGATGAATTATCAGCTTTGATATTCTTCTCTTTTGAATTTTTAAAACAGAGTTTAAGATCAGTTC